GTGGTATTCGATAGGCTGACCAAGAGCGCTCATTTCCTACCCATCAACACTACTTACACGCTCGAGCGGTTGGCCAAATTGTACACAGATGAGATTGTGAGACTGCATGGAGTTCCGGTTACTATAGTATCGGATAGAGACCCACAGTTCACATCACGGTTTTGGCCTAAGTTCCAGGAATCCATGGGTACGAAATTGAGGTTTAGCACCGCGTTTCATCCTCAAACGGATGGGCAATCTGAACGGGTGATTCAGATCTTGGAGGACATGTTAAGGGCATGTGCCTTGGAGTTCCAGGGGAGCTGGGACAATCAGTTGGCTTTAGTAGAATTCGCCTATAACAACAGTTATCAGGCAAGTATAGGCATGCCCCCATACGAGGCATTGTATGGGAGGAAATGCCGGACACCATTGTGTTGGGATGAGGTCGACGAGGCTAAGCTCGAGGGCACCGAGTTAGTCGAGATCACTAAGGAGAAGATAAAAGTCATACAGGATAGGCTCAAGGCTGCCCAAGACCGGCAGAAGAGCTATGCTGATAAACGTCGGAGGACGTTAGAGTTTGAGGTTGGTGACGAGGTATTTCTGAGGGTATCACCTTGGAAAGGGATCATCAGGTTCCTCAGTCGGGGTAAGCTTAACCCACGATACATAGGTCCGTTCAAAATCCTTGAAAGGATTGGGGTTGTAGCATACCGACTTCAGTTGACCCCAGAATTAGAAAAGATTCACAATGTATTTCATGTTTCTATGCTCAAGAAGTATGTGCGGGACCCGTCACATATTCTTGAGAAACCACCGGTAGAAATCCGAGAAGACCTACATTATACGGTACAGCCGGTAAAGATCATAGACCGGCAGGTAAAGAAGCTAAGGAGCAAAGAGGTGCCGATGGTAAAGGTACTTTGGAAGAGTGATCGTGTCGAGGAGCAAACGTGGGAGGTGGAGACCCTAATGAGGGAACAATATCCATTTCTGTTTGATTAGACACATGGATTTCGGGGACGAAATCCCAAATAAGGGGGGTAGAACTTGTAACACCGCCCCGAGTATTCGTACTGTACCAAATTATGTATTGAACCTTGAGAAATGTATAAAAGCATTTTTACGTGATTGTAAATTTTTATCATTTCTATTACGTGAATAGTAAAATTCACGTGGGGCCCACACCGGATGTGGGGCCGCCCGATATTATCGGGACCACATATTATATTAATCTTGGATTAGATAATATGTATATGGTGGTGGATATCCTAATTGGGCCATGACAATGGCACAAGGTTGACCGGTTGGTCAAACGGGCCAAATTATCGGTATCGGCAATTTATTAGATAACAGCCCGAAAAGGGATTTCGGAGACTTCTAAATTAAAGTTGGGGAATGCATATTGATCCTAAGGTCCAATAAGGATTGGGAACAAGTGTTATATTTTATTTGACCCGATAAAATAAAATATACTTAAAACAGTCCGGAAAATACAACTTTCGGGACCGATTGTACACTTGGGAACATATAGGGATGGACTCCCACATGAGTGGGGGCCACCCCACGAATTTGGTGCTGCAAATGTCAAAGGGAGCCGCACCTAATGCTGCTGATTGAGGCTGGAGATGAGTGAGAGACAAGATGAGAAAAGAAAGGGGCCCTCCTCCCACATTATTATGAATGAGCCAAAAGAAGGAACCATCCTCACCCCCCACACCTCATCCACTCGACCCAAACCTCAATCATAGGGAGAGAATCTCTGCTAAAACTCCATTTTTCATCCACCATTTTCGCACAAAGCAAGGGGAGGAAGAAGGAAGGGAATAGAGAAGAGAAAAGTTGGTTTTGGAGAGGAAAACTTGTGTTTAGCAAGGTAAGGACTCCATTAATCCCATTTCTTGTTCTTCAATACTCTTTTATGATTATTCAATCATATTTCACACCCTAGTAATGTTCTACACGTTGGGATGTGTAGAAAGAGGGGTTGGAAGGTAGTTCTAAGTCCAAGAACGGACTTAGAAGCCAAAGTGACCGGTTCGCCGGAAAATAACCTTTTTGAGGTTATTTGTATTAATATGGGTTTTATGATGATAAAACCTTGTTAGTAACTTGTCTAAGGTATTCAAGGAACTTTCACGGAGTTGAAAAGGTCGCCGGAGTTGTCGCCGGAGTTCGTTGAAGTTCGCCGGAGTTTCGTCGGAGCTAAATCGGGAAGGCTAGAACTTCATAAGCTTCATTAAGGTGAGAAGACGGCTTTATGCTTTATAACTTTTGCGTGAGGCATGAGATTACCTAAAGTAATCAAGGATATGTTTTGTGGAATGATTAAAGATAATCAAGTATTTGCTTATGCCATGATTTTGCATGAAACATAGTTGAAAAGCATGTTATGGAGGTTTGGTGATTAAAAATGTGATAATATATTTTGTGTGATGATCCAGGGATCCAAAATGGTATTTTTGGATCAGGGACATCAAGAAGTATATGTGGATAAAATTTCGAGTTAATCGGACTCCGTTTGGGGGGTCAAAAGGGACGTTGACCGCCAAGTCAACTGCCATACCCGACCGGGTATTGACATATACCCGACCGGGTATTTGTTGAAAATCAGCTTTGTGGACTACTGTCTCCTGTACTCGACCGAGTATGGGTTAATACTCGATCGAGTATTGGGTTATGCTCAAAACGGGCAGTTTTGAGCGGGTTAATGTGGGCCGTTCGGGTGGGACCCGCCCACGTTGGATCCTAAGGATTGTTATATGACTATAGGGCTAGGCATTGTCCATAGTTAAAGGAATGAAAGGTTAGCCATATCCAGGTTAGGATTTGGTAGAGAATAGACTGGGGATCGAGTACCCTTGGACGGTAAATGATCCAGAATACTCCAGGTGGGGTCGAGTACCCTTGGACGGTAAATGATCCAGAATACTCCAGGTGGGGTCGAGTACCCTTGGACGGTAAATGATCCAGAATACTCCAGGTGGGGTCGAGTACCCTTGGACGGTAAATGATCCAGAATACTCCAGGTGGGGTCGAGTACCCTTGGACGGTAAATGATCCAGAATACTCCAGGTGGGGTCGAGTACCCTTGGACGGTAAATGATCCAGAATACTCCAGGTGGGGCCGAGTACCCTTGGACGGTAAATGATCTTAAATACTCCAGGATGGGTTGAGTGCCTTGGACGGTAAATGATCCTAAAACACTCGGTAGTATGAATCAAAGGTAGACTATAGCTTGTGAGCTAGGTAACCGGGAAAGGAGTGAGAAAAGTTAGGTAAGAACTTTATCACTAAAAGACTCTTTAAGGTAAATGACCTGCGGGTTGAGTATTTTACGAGTATATATACAGTATGTATCATCGGGTGGATGAGGGACATCCATATGTATATATCACCCTATTTTTGGGTCTCGTGTCTGAAACATTAGTTATTCTTCATATAGCCTGCTTGTCACTAGTACTTCTATGGAGTACTGACCCCTCCGGGGGCCCTCACATTTTTCAGGTTGAGGCTAGAGTCCTACTACCTGCACCTTTGCCTAGGGTGACTGATCGAGAAGGAAGACGTGGTTCGTGCTTCCATTCTTATTTCAAATGTATAAACCGCTCATGGATTTTTGAACAATATTTTCATTAAAACAGTTGGGGGCCTGCGTGCCCATGTTTGCCACGTGTGGCTAAGTATCAAACATTTTATTATTCCGCATTTGTTTGATTATGATATTGATGTTGATTGTATGTGTTTACTAATCGGTTTGGCAATAGAATCAATCGGACGCCTTGTACAATCCAATAGGGGTGAACTGTTGTTGTTCCTATCGGGTTGTACGGCGGTTGTCTACGTGGCTCGGATGCGGTCCGGGGCGTGACACTCATCTTATACACATTTTCTAAATGATATAATTTACATATGCTCATTTCTATAGGCCTGATGCTCATTAAAAATTCATTAATGCTCATTTAATAGAAATCACGATTTTCATCAATCTCAATAGACAAGGTTTGATGCGTATGCTCATTTGATTCCATGCTCATTTTATAAATGTCATATCAATACATTTTTTAGAAGTACTATGGAGTATTTTATATATTTTTTAGAAGTACTACGGAGTATTTTATATTAGACTCCTAATGCTCAACATAATAGGTTTGATGCTCAGTAAAAGTTCATCAATACTCATTCACAAGAAACTGTGATTTTCATCTCAGTCGCGGATGTTTGATGCTCAATTAAAATGTCGTGATGTTCAACTAACAAACCTTACGATAAAAAAAGTGAATTAGAAGTTATGAAGTATACCATGATTCTGAATATTAGACTCCTAATACTCAACACAATAGGTCTGGTGCTCATTAAATGTTCATTATTATTTATTCTCCAGAAGTCATGATTTTTTCATGATTTTCATCTCAATAGTGGAGGTTGGATGCTCAATTAAAATGTCATGATGTTCAACTAACAAACCTTACATTTTCATATCAATGTGCACTTTGTAAGTTATGTATGCTCATTTGGTACTCATGTTATGCTCATTTTTACAATGTTATGAAACAAATATCATGATGTTCAACATTAGACTCATAATACTCAACGAAACAGGTTTGATGCTCATTAAAAGTTAATATATGCTCATTTAACAGAAACTGTGATTTCCATCTCAAGAGAGAAGATTTGATGCTCAATGAAAGTGCCGTGATACTCAAATAACAAACCTGGCAATTTTTATATCAAATCTCATTTGGTAAGTTTAATTTGCTCATATGATATTTTTGAAATATGCATTGATATAACATTTTAAAAATGAGCATAACATCGCTACCTAATGAGCATACATAACTTACAAAGTGCACATTGATATGAAAATCGCAAGAATTGTTAGTTGAATATCAAGACTTTTCAATTGAACATCAAATCTCCACCATTGAGATGATAATCACACTATTAATGAACTTTTAATGAGCATCACACTATTATGTTGAGTATTAGGAAGACTGTGCGTCAATGCGCTAATTATAAAGAGCGACACGTAGTCTGCCTCACTTGTGTCTACCTCTGCCCACCCACTCTCGCTCGTACAAAATAGAAAGGTCCAGGAATGGTGAAGCTCGTCAACTCTATCTGTTTTCAATTCTTCGCCGCTTTCTTCCTATCGATCTCCATCTGTATCGTTTCCGGATCTGTAAGATCTGCATCCCTTATCTCTTTTTGATCGTTAAACAATTGATTGATATATATACTCCTTTTTGTACGTGTTCCTTTCAGGATCCGGATTGTGTGTATACAGTTTACATAAGAACAGGATCAATCCTGAAAGCTGGTACAGATTCCAACATTACGTTGACCCTCTACGATGCCGACGGCTACGGGATCCGGATTAACAACATTGAAGCCTGGGGTGGGCTTATGGGTCCGGATTATGACTACTTCGAGAGGGGGAACCTGGACATCTTCAGTGGGCGCGGCCCTTGCCTAACTGGCCCAGTTTGCCTCATGAATCTCACCTCCGATGGCACTGGACCCCACCACGGCTGGTACTGTAACTACGTCGAGGTCACCGTCACCGGAGTCCACGACGACTGTAGCAAGCAGCTGTTCACGGTGGACCAGTGGTTGGCCACCGACACGTCGCCGTACGAGCTCACCGCCATCAGGAATAACTGTCAGTCTGATGATGTCTCCAAATATCATCCCGTCGGCGGCTCCGGGACTCTCGCCGTCATGTGAGATGGGGCTTTTTATTTACCGACAATGTCTGTTGTATCATTCAATTCAATAACGTTGATATTAATTGGGTTGTTGTGCTACCGCCCAATATCCCTTTTTGAGTCCTTTTTTAATAATACTACTACCTTCATGAGAAGGCTCCATCTCAATATTTTATTGCTAGATTCTATAGTATCTTAAGATACCATACATCAGGTTACATATAAATTGTGGAAGATCGTTATCTTCGGCAATTTCCCGTTGCTACAGGCCACACCGAATATCCATTGTCGGTCAAAAAGAACTAACGGAATTCTTCCGTTTTCTCCCCCTGTTTCGACCAACACAACCTCATGCTACCAGGTGATTCATCCAACGCCTGAGGCCACATGTGTAGGTATCAGTGACGCAACATCAAATATCTCTGGCACCCTCTATCTTTGTACTGTTGTATTGATTTGCTTTGTTTGTGTATAAGACCATTGCAGTTATTTTCATTCTTTGTTTGTTCGTGCGCTTTGTTGCTTCTTGTGCTTACCTGACTATCCGGCTGTAGGTATCAGTAATTTTTGTATTCATTTGTTGTTGGTTTGGTTCCTTGCGCTACTGCTTTCTCTGACGGCTGTTTGTTATTCATTTGGTGTTGGTTTTAATATTGCCCCTGTTGCGTTTGTTTGGTGTTTTAATAATTCTTTAGTGTTTCGATCCAGTTGCATTCCAATACTTTTTGAATAGGCACCTTCTGATTGAATTCAGAACTACCGAAATGAGTTCAGCCGCTTCTGAGTTACTCAAAGGGTGCAAACCAGTTTGAAATTATGTTCTGCAGCGCCCTTTAGATGTTTTAGGCTGCAGTGACAATCTTTGAACTGCAGTGTCGATCTTTGAAGATCCAATTGTGATCGAAGCTTATATTCACCATTGTTTTTATTTTACTCTTTCTTTATTCTCTTCTTTATCTCTTTTCTCTTTTAATTCTGCTGCAGTTGCATCATCTTGTGTTCTACTCTTTTACGTTGTATGTGTTTTTTTATATGGATGTGTGTGGTTAGGACAGAGTTGTCATCCTTTACGTGGGGTGCGGGTTCGATTGCAGTCTGTTAAACACGGTGTTGGTAGTCTGAACTTGTTCTCATATCATGTTGCTGTTTAATGTTTTATATGCTGTTTCATATGTTATTTTAATTTGCTTGTTTAGGAATTTTGAACTTTACTTTAAATTGCAGATTAACGTTTTTTATCTTTCCTCTGTTTGGGATCACGTGTTCCTGGTACTCTCCTTTGATCTGCTGAAATTGTAAGTCATTTATGCTTGGCTATGTATTTTGTGAGATATGGGCTTATACTTCTCTGTTGCTTATGTATTTACCTATTGTGCAATCACACTAGCACATATCCTGTGTTCTTATTCTTGCCATGCCTGTGACTAAGTTTAATTACCACATATTCAGCCCTCCTTTAGTTGTTTTACACTGCAGTGTCAATCTTTGAACTACAGTGTCAATCTTTGAACTGCAGTGGTAATCTTTGAATATCCAAGTGATATCAGCTCTTATATAAACCATTAGTTTTGTTTAACACGGTCGAATTCCCTTGGTCTTTATTTATTTTGTTTTTTGTTGATTTTCTTCTTTATTTCTTTCAAATCTGCTACAATTATGGCATCTTGTGTTCACAAGTTATGTGAGGTATTGGTCTTTTTTTTATCTCTTTATCTCTTTCGAACCTACTGCATGCAGTATTGGTCTTTGTTTTTAAAATCCTGAAATATGTCCTTTTATTTAAGGGAATGTCGGTAACTTGCTGGAATTCATACTCCTAATACGCTAACTTGCTGTGTAGATGAGAGTTGAATAATATCAGGATATCTTTCTGCATAATAAGGTTCATACTCCCAATATGTACCCTAACTCTCATTTACACAACAAGTCCTTTTACCTTTGGTTCACGACAAGGATTGAAAGAGATTTAGAAACTCTGAACTATCTATCCTTTTATTGCAACTAAACTTCAAATCCATGAAATCATCTTTAATTGGTTTAGTGAATTCAATCCATTCTAAAAAACACTTTCTGTGGAATCGCACGCCTGGTACTCTTCTTTGATCCATTGAAATTGTAGGTCATTTATGCTTCTAAGCATTTTTTTGTCATGTTATGCCTTCATATTGTAAGATATGGGCTTATGCTTCTCTATTACTCATGTGTGTACCTATTATGCAATAATCATTGTGAGTATTTAAGTGAATCCATGGGCTGGAAAGAAGTGCCTAAAAAACCCAAATTATTACGAATTAATAACTTTAGTCCAGATCACTAATATTTAAGTCACTTATGTATTTTCTCCCTATAATACTCCTAATCACATTGCTAAATGGTCTACATCCTTGTGTTTACCATGCCTGTGACCACGTGTAATTACCACCTATTCATCCCTCATTTAGTTGTTTTGCATTTCAGTATGAATGTTTGAACTACAATGTAAATATGTAAATTGCAATGTCAATCTTTGAACTGCAATGTCAAACTTTTGAGATCCAAATCCTATCAAATCTTATATTAACCGTTGGTTTTGTTTAGCACAGTCGGGATCCATTGTTTTTTTTCTTTTGTGCTGTGTTGATTTTCTTCTTTATTTCTTTCAATTCTGCTTCAGTTATGCGTAATCACGATGTTGTAGTCCACCGTTTTGCATTGTATGTATTTATTTGCATAAGAACCACTTGCGGGGTGTTAATCGACGCAGTGGTAGTGTGGCCTACTCCTCCTACCATGTCTTTGTGTTACGTGTAATATGCTATTTCATATGTTATTTTGGTGTTACGTACTCCTGATGCTCTTCTTTGATGGTTGTGTTTTTTCTCTGTTTGGTATTAGGTACTCGTGGTACTCTTCTTTGATCCACCGAGAGTGTAAGCCATTCATAGTCCTCTGCATAAGTTTTGATGTACTGTGTGTTTACACATTGTAAGCTGTGCAATTATGCTTCTCTGTTGTTTATGTGTTTACTTATTGTGCAATCGCGCTACTAGATGGCCTACGTCCTTATGCTTGCCATACCTATTTTTTCCATGCGTCAATCAACATTGCTTTAGTTGCTTCTCATTGAGACCTCCTTTGATTGTTTTTTAGTCTGCAGTGTCAGTCTTTGAACTGCAGCATCAATCTTTGAACTACAGTGTCAATCTTTGAGGATACAAGCGACATCGAATCTTATATTGAACGTTGGTTTAATAGTGTGTCTTTGCGTATTTTTTTAGCCCGATCGGGTTATGGTGCAGACTGGTGATTTAGGGTGTCAATTATCTGCAGCCGAAAAACATGAACTTCACTTGAAACGCCGCCGACTGACATACAGTCAGCGGACTGATGTCAGCCGCATTGCTTCTACTTCGTCTGCTGCCAGAGCCCATCATACATGTGTCACCTCAATTCCTCCTGGTTTGTCCCTTCGTATTGAAATTATTAAACTCACATCTATTGTGTCTCTTGTTGGTCATCTATTCTAATTTGTCGTTCTTCGTTGTTTTTGCAATGCCATTTCTGCACAATGCAAACAAACTGCCAATCATATATTTCCCTATCCTTCTTCACACTCGTTTTACCTTTTAACTATCCTCTGCCTGCCTTTGTGACCCACAAAACTGTGACAAAATGCATTTTCCCCCTTGTACGCCCACCCTTTATTTGCATGCCATACGGTTGTATTTGCTCCACCACCACAATGTTTAACCTGCTGATCCTACCACTCGTTTTTCCCAACACTTTATACACACCAGCGACAAACTCAATACACGCAACTGAGGGGGAATGTAGCGGCTCAATTCCTATTACCATTGATGAGTACCGCCTTAAGAGTATTCCTGATTGCTTTTTTTGTGGTGCTCAACGTTTTCAATATGAACCTCCAAGTATGTGCTGCAACAAAGGTGAGATCGTCCTCACGTTGAATGAAATGCCAGATCAGCTGGTTCGCTTATTCACATCGTTGGACCCTTTGTCAAAACATTTTCGTTCCTGTGTGCGCACTTACAACAATACTTTTGCTTTCACATCTATTGGGATCTACAACTACGACAAGAGTCTTTGTCGACGTAATCAGGGGATATATACATTTCGTGTTCAAGGTCAGATATACCACTTTGTTAATGACTTGCTCCCTGACGGTTGTCCACCTCGAAATCTGCAACTATATTTCTATGACACAGAGCACGCCATTGACAGTAGGCTTGATTCAACGGATCGCCTAGACAAAGATGTGGTTCACATATTGATGGAAGACATGTCTGCAAACCCGTATGCACAGTTTTTTAAGTCACTTTCTGATGTGGGACAAACGAGCGAATTTTCCATTATCCTTAATGGGAATCCTGGCCTCGATCAACGTGTTTACAATTGCCCAACGTCTTCTCAGGTGGCTGCTGTCTGGGTTGAAGACGGATATGAAGGTGTCGTCTCACCTAGACACATACGGGTTTATGCGCACAATGGAAGGTCTCAGAATATCCATTACTACTACGGCTGTTATGACCCTCTTCAATACCCACTTTTGTTCCCACGGGGAGAAGTGGGTTGGCATGAGGGCATTCCCAAAGGCCCTGCTAACATACTACACAGAGGTTCACCCCCTGCAAATTCAATTTCCATTAATTGCAATCGCTTTGAAACAGATTGAGCGCTAATTGCTGAGGAAGCACACTTGCTTAATGGGGGAAGGAAAATGCATTCTGTTTCTTGCAGACAGTATTATGCATACAAATTGCAATTACGCCATGCAAACACTTCATTTGTAATGCATTCTGGCCGGCTCTTTCAACAATACATAGTCGACTTGTATATTAAGATAGAGACACAACGGCTTGATTATTACCGAAGCAAACAACGTGAATACCGGGGCGACACATACCAGGGATTAGTTGACAACATTGACGCGGGTATTCACACCACTAATGAGGTGGGTCGACGCATTATGCTGCCTGGGTCATTCATTGGAGGCCCACGCAACATGCGCGGTCGTTACATGGACGCAATGGCGCTTGTCCAAAATTATGGAAAGCCAGATTTATTCATTACTATCACCTGCAACCCCAACTGGCCTGAAATCAAAGGCTGCTTAGCCTTTGCTGATGAAGTCCAAAATCGCCCAGACCTTGTTTCTCGTGTCTTCAGAGCCCGTCTAGAAGAATTCAAAAAAGACATAATCTCGAAAGCTTTATTTGGCAAAGTAGTTGCACACACATATGTAATTGAATTTCAGAAAAGAGGTCTTCCTCATGCGCATTTTCTTCTCATCCTGTCGAGAGAATGTAAAATAACAACTGCATCCCGCTGTGATCACCTCATAACTGCTGAACTACCAGATCCCAATGTGGATTCTGTCATGTATCATCTTGTGAAGAAACATATGATACATGGCCCTTGTGGCGATATGAACCCGGAATGTCCTTGCATGGTTTCAGCTCACGGTTTGAAGTCCCCGGCATGTAGGAGTAAATTTCCACACAAATTCTCCCCTGTTACAATTTTTGATGAAAACTGCTTCCCAGCATACAGACGGCGTGACTCGGGAATTACTATCCATGTAAGGAGACATTCCCTTAACAACCGCTGGGTTGTCCCTTACAATGCTCGTTTATTGCGCAAGTATGATTGTCAGATTAATGTCGAAGCTTGTGCGAGTGTCAAATCAGTTAAATACATATACAAGTATGTATACAAAGGACATGACAGGATTAACATGTCATTGTCAGAAAGGCGCCAAGACGAGGTAATTGATGAAATTACTAATTTCCAGAAAGCACGTTGGGTCTCTGCTCCTGAGGCTGCATGGCGTATATTCAGCTTTCCAATATCAGAAATGCGTCCCGCTGTGCTTCAATTGCAAGTCCATTTGGAAAATTCTCAGTACATTACCTTTTATGGCAACCAACGCATAACGTATATCACAGAGGCTGCTGATTCTATGAAAACAATGCTGACACAATTCTTCACAATGAACATGTCTCATCAGGTTGCAATATCCCTGCACCTTCTTTACGTGGAATTTCCTCATTATTTTGTCTGGAATAGTCAACGTAAAGAATGGACACAACGCAAACGAAGGGAAGTTATAGGCAGACTTGTCACTGTAAATCCCACAGAAGGAGAGCGATATTATCTGCGGCTCTTGCTCGCCAATGTACGCGGTCCAACATCATTTGCAAACCTGAAATACGTTGCGAATGCCCAAATGCCCACATATAGGGCTGCGGCTGAGCGTCTCGGCCTTTTGTCAGGTGATTTTGTGATACGGGCATCCCTTGATGAAGCAGTTTTATTTCAACTACCGTCCAGCCTGCGAAAATTGTTTGCCACACATCTGTGCTTTTCAGATATACCAAACCCACGTGCACTGTGGCTTGAATACAAATCAAATTTATGCGAGGACTTTGCCAGGTTTCAGCCATCCACAACTGCTGAAAACACTGCACTAATATTGTTGCGTGATCTCTTCGCTGAAATGGGAAAGGAAATAGACTCTTTCAGTCTGGTTGATTACGAATTGCGACAAACTTATGCTGAGGGAACCACTCGTGAAATACTGACAGAACTTAATATCCTTGTTAGCGATACAGATGTCAATGGCATTTCAACATTGAATACTGAACAACGAACAGCATTTAACGCCATAATGACAGCTGTACACGCTTGCAAAGGGGAAGTTTTCTTTGTTGACGACCCTGGAGGCACTGGGAAAAGCTTCCTGTATAGGTCCTTGCTTGCCGCGACCCGGATGCACAAGTGGATAGCACTCGCAACAGCAAGTTCGGGTATTGCTGCATCAATACTTCCTGGAGGCCACACTGCCCATTCACGTTTTAAACTACCCCTTGATGGAGAATCTAAATATATCTGCAATATTGGCAAACAATCTTCTGAAGCAAGACTTCTTAAAGAAGCACGCCTTATTCTGTGGGATGAAGCGTCTATGGCAAATCGCATGATTGTTGAAAGTTTAGATACCACATTGAAAGACATACTAGATAATGACGCTCTTTTTGGGGGTAAAGTTATGGTGTTTGGAGGTGATTTCAGACAAACATTGCCTGTTGTTCGCTCCGGCACAAAACATGACTTCATTGATGCCTGCTTGCTGAAATCAATAACAATATGGCCTCATGTTTGCAGATTACGCCTTGTTCAAAATATGCGCGCACATGAAGATCCTGCTTTTTGTGATTACCTGTTACGGATCGGCAATGCAACTGAACCAAATATCACTCCAGGAAGAATAAAAATCCCTTCCAATTTTTTGCTTCCCTGGATTAACGAAACTGTGTCTCTAGATTTGCTCTTTGCTGCTGTGTATCCAGATCTCCACACATTTGCAAACGCCCCTTATTCTCTAATGTCATGTGCAATTCTGACAACAAAAAATGACATAGTTGATTCCATCAATACATCCCTAATGAATAAATTCCCTGGAGAAGACTACGTGTTTCTTAGTCATGACATTCCTATAGACTCAAAGAACACACACTGTCAGGATTATTTGCACACGTTATCCCCTACCGGCCTGCCCCCACATAAATTGAATTTGAAGCATAATTGCCCAATTATGTTGCTTCGCAATCTTAATCCATGCGAAGGCTTGTGTAATGGTACTCGCTTAGTATGCGACTCCTTCGGGGATCATATTCTAAGCTGTTATATCGCTGCTGGTGACCACACTGGTAAACATGTCTTCATCCCTAGAATCCCCCTGGAGGTTTCTAGGGATGAACATTGCCCTATTCCATTTAAACGGATAGAGTTCCCTGTTAAACTTTGCTTCACAATGACAATCAACAAGTCACAAGGACAAACACTTGATTTTGTTGGTATATATTTAAAGGAACCTGTTTTTTCTCATGGGCAACTTTATGTTGCAATGTCAAGGGCTCGCAACGCAGATTCAATTAAAATTGTCATTTGCCCTGACGAGTCACACCCTTCACTGGCTAACACAACAAAGAACCTTGTGTTTGAAGAAATATTACCTTTCATTAACTAGGTCTTGAAAACTAAATATATGCATCCACTAATTCAACATTTGCATTGGTTTTATTTTATATCCTGATTGAATATGTTTCCCATTAATACAGTGAACAAACCATTATGACTGCTGAAGTACCGATTCTATCAGTAAAGCCGAACACTAGGCCATGGACCTGTCGTGTGACAGTCATTGAAAAACAGAATATTCGCACTGCAAAGGCTTCACCCATGTGATTTATGCCTATGATACTCATAGATTCACTTGTATGGTTCTGCATATTTGTTGTTTCAATAATATTTTTAAGTTCTCACAATCCCATTTGACTAACTTAAATAATGTGTTCTTTATAGGGGAACAGAGTGCAGGCAACCGCATTCCAAGGTGACATTGAAGGAATGGATCAGAGGCTTGTGCTCTACTCAACTTACCTTGTCTCCAATGCCTACGTGAAGCCGAAAACCGACATGCGCTTCTGTGTTGATGCGGAATACCCATACGTTTGGTCTTTCACACGTCGCACTTTCATCCAGGATGTTGCCGCAGAAGCAGGACAGGACTTTCGTGCGCTAGCTGAGGCAGACACCATCCCTTTCAATGACATATATGATTCTTATTTGCATGAATCTCGTATCAGTAAGACTCTACTCTCTGTTTACATATTTCTGAAATACTCCTGTGCTTCGTCTTTTAAACCCTCGTATGTAAACCACAATTTTTTAGATGTTATGGCTGCGATTGTAAAGAAATTGCCACGCACCTTTATCTTCTCAAATGACACTCAAAAACCAGCATGGGATGTTGTCCTTATTGATGCACAGTACACCCTAAACCATTAATTTACATTCCGTTTATTACACTATTGTCTCTCCACTTGTCTAATTCACTCATGTGTGTTCATAGGTGCGTTCCAATTCCATTCACTATGTGGGGGGAATTCGTCAACCGCCATGGTCACGAGATAGAAAGGTGTCTACACGCAGGCGACTTCCCCCTTGTCCTAATCAACAGAGCTGCCATCAACCTTTTCCAAGGTAATTCATCATTTATATTCAATTTCAAATGCATTGAAATGAAAAATAAAAACCCCGCAAACACTATGCAACGGCTATATTAACATTCCATCCATATGCTTTCAACACACTGCGCTCTTTACACCCTCATCTGCAAAATGCCTACACTGTCAGCCAGCACACTCCTTATGGCGCCCGCTTTGTATTGATTGCATTTGTGTTTCGCAGGTTTAACTCTTGCAACTCGTTTTGACTCCCACGTTGAACTTAATCCTGACGGCGAACGCGCATTGAATCTGAAAAAATGGTATCTACCTATTCCTGTATCCACGCAATTATTTATCTGTCACATAAATTAGTCAACGATAAATTCCCTTATTTATCTTCAACTTCTCTCACAGGGTCACTGAAAACAAATGTAAAATCCATGACACACTGCATGGTAAGGAATACGATGACGCACTTACATATATCGCCAAACCTCTTCTGCAGCCACAAACCACCATATCAAACTTGGAAACTGCACTAACTGAGGTTTAACTCATTGAAATCTTCCATATTGTCACTCAATCTGATAAATCATTGATATACATTGTCAATTACATTTACAAATTACGTTTTATTGTCTTTATCTTATTAATGTGTCATGCTATATACCCATGTTTAATCTCATAATTTCATGAACTAATATTGCTATATTTTTAGTCAATTAATTCTGCTTTTATCATCACTTTTCATTTCGTACCATGTATTGTTAGTTGCAGTTTTTTCATATCATTAAAAAAATGATATATCTTTTGTATTGATGATTATTTAGTTTAACATTACTCTGCTTCACCGCAAGTTTTTGATATTAGTATGAATATGAATAAATTATGTAACCATTACTGCTGGAATAATGCCCCTGCGCTATTGGAATCTACTGCAACCTTATTCTAACAAATCACTCAACAATGTTTTACACTTTCTCAAATGCACAGATACTTGTTGTTTGGGTGTATGGTAAATTCAGTTTACCAGATACTTCTGAAGAAGGGTATTACATTGGTTGTAACTACTGCAACCGCAGAGTTCATGGTATCGAAGGTGCGTCCTTCCAATGCATATTCTGTGGGCAAAAGAATGGAACTACTGTTAAAAGGTATACACACAGATTCACATGCATTCTACTTTTTTAGATATTGTTTTTGCCCCGTAATAACTTCCAAATGATGCAGATTCAGACTCAATGCTTTGCTAGGCGACGGAACCGGCACCATCCCTGTCACACTTTTCACCAATGATGTACTGCACCTCTTCGAATTCATAGGCATGGATGCAACTGCTGCCATGGATTTAGAACTTTTCAATACCAACATACAAAAGATACATATCCTGACTGGGGTAAAGCGAACCAAAACCAACGAAGAAGGACTGCAGGGCAATCCTTACACCGTTGTATCTGTCTCAAAAAAACATGAAACCTCCCCTGAACCCAATTCAAACCAACATGTAACCCCCCCCCCCCCCCCCCCGATTCCCCAAATAACACCCCTGCAGTATTCGAAGCTGCTACTGAACCATCAACCCTTGCAAAAAGAAAGCTGAATTTCAAATCCCTTGGTCAAATGCCAGCTGCACATCCTTCCTCATTTGTGAATCCTATTATGCACAACGACAACATTGCGGAAGAGCCGCTTGCAAACCTGCGCCCCAAGAAACGCAAACCAATCAATACTTAATGACCAGAGTCCGTGCATTATTTGCTATGGTGGAGTCGTGAGTGCATTCTTCTGGTGAGAATCATATATGATTCTGCACAACCCACATCCTTCCAATGCCACCTTTTTTGCTCTACAGTCCGACGCATAATTAGCAGAAATAATTAGTAATAATTGCGTCACTGTACTCACCCCTTTGTAATTCACACGTCTAGCAGTAGTCCTAGACTTTTGTATTCACCTACTCTTGCATGTACATTAATAAGCAACACATCTTGTAAATATTAACCACCTTCGTTTACCCGTTGTTGGGGAACTATATATGCCTTTGTTTTTATCATGCCTATATACCTGTACACATATATGTTTGTATGTCTGTGTGTGTATACTATTATTCCCCCTAATATTTCATGCATCAAGGGTCATTACATGCGCCTGAACCATTTTGGCTCATTCCACAACGACATCATGTTTCATCCCTACTACATAAACCCTATCTCATTTACTTTATATTCCAATGAAATTACCAACTTCCACCCCTTATTTATTTTCACACTACAATTGAAATTTTTTTCCCCCACACTTTTCAAGCAAATAAATATGTTTATATTTCTTTTACCCCCCAAAATGCACAAACCCAAACATGTCTGCCATAAATGTACTACACCGTAAACAGCATCCCATCCTAATACAAAAAAAATATCCATTATTCCCAGTATACAAACTGCCTGCAGGATCTCTTTAGTATTTATATCCATTTACTCCCTAACTTCTGTTTTCACTTCCTTTTGCTTCTATGTTATTATTATGCAAACATGTTGTCAATATTAGCTACGTTTGCCTTCCCTGTTGTTGGTAATGCATGCAAGACTATTTTGTATTTCACTCTTTAATACGGATGTTATGTTTGTTTAGTTTTACGTTTATACAGTCTCCTGCGCTACATGAAAACACCTTATTGCCCGCGCGTCTTAAACAGAAAATTAAGAATGAATCATGTGACTATTAGTTTTAACATTAAGTATTATAGTTAGTTTTAATAACAATATCACAGTTTTATTACTCCTTTAGTTTTACTTTTATGTATGATAATTGCGGTCGTTGTTTTGATAACCAGTATTGTTGATTGTCATGTTGCAGCACTCCAATGAGTGTTTGCATCTACTACAAGGGTATATTCAGTTAAATTATGATAAATAACAAGTATTATTTTCAAAAATTTGAGAATTACAATTATCAGCTAACATTGAACACCGGTATTCACTTAATTAGTGTTCAGTATGGTGAACATAAGTGTTCAGTGTGGTGAACATAATTGTTCAGTGTGGTGAAAATACAGTATAAATAATCTTTGTCCTAACACACCTCTACCATGTAGTAGATTCACCATATGAAGATTTATCCATGTAATAGATTATCGGTTATTTACTAATCTACCATAACATGAATGATAACATATGTATACGAAAATTCACCATCAATATTTCATTACAGCACTCCATACAATTACTAAGAATTTCTTGTGAACTTCTTGTTGAAAGGTATACATTAAATATTGTCACTACATTAAATATGGCTTACCATAAAATGGATGATAACATATTCTTAATTGATAATATTTGATGGTGAACTCCATGTTTTTCTATCGTTGTCCTAACACCAAGGCTATTAATTAATAGATCACATAAAATTTTATATCATGGGGAATTATCATCCATAAGTGCAACAGTTTGTGATATTTACAGCTAATCTTAAAAAGTTTAAAATTTGTATTTAACCATTTTAAAGTTTTCGTGTTTGCAAACTGACATTTTGCAATACGCATCTTATTATACATTGCAAATCCCTGCCCCACATCAATATTCCTTGTATAACAGAAATGCGTTATATTGTTTAGTTTATTTTTAGATGGAAATGTCGTATGCCAAGACTTAATGTATACCCCCAATAATGTATTCCCTCCGTCCTGTAATTTACTTCCAACTTTACGTTTTCACCAGTCCCAGAAACAACTTCTCTTCCTTTTTTAATGAAAAATTTATGATTCACAATGATTCTTACACATTCTTACCTATTTCTTTCTCCTGTGCACAACTCCCCCACACAATTATCACTTTCTGAATTTATATGCCATTGTACTATTAAAATAAATATTGGGACGAAAGGAGTCTTCTTTTTAAAATCATACAAAAAAAAAATTATTCACTCACAAATTATGTATTATATTAGTAAATTTCCATGCGAAAAAGAAAAAAAACATTACAATTTTTTAAAACCAAAAAAATATATACCCAAATCTCACATACCTGTGAAACATACTTCTACTAACGTGTCACAATATTGCCCCATTACATACAAAATCAATCCATACTCCGTAAATCTACAGAAGTAAGTATATTTTTACTTGGACTGCAATTCGTCCCAGACGAAACCAGCCCAAACAGTCCAAAACAAACCAGACCATTTCAGACCAGACCAATCCAGACCAAACTTAAATAATTACAAAAAAACAAATAAACTAAACTAGACCAGATCAGATCAGTTCATACCGAAAATAGACAAGCCCATCTCAAACCAGTCCAGTCCAAACCAAACCAAATCAACAAATTACGGTCTAAGTAACAACATCCTAAACAATAATTATTCACCGCCTAATCTTGTAAATTAAAAAAATTGATGGCCCCTGTCAAATGCATGTATTTTAAAACGTCAGATTCAACCCATTATGTTGATTTCTTTTAGATTACGCCTGCCTCCACATGCAGTAATACCCAATCACAGAAGTACTGCCGCCCTTTCCTATCTTCCCCTTCTTTCAGAACAGCCGTAAACATCACCCCAATACTGCGCTTCATCTCTTCTCATTCCAGCCTTGATCTCACGCTACAACAGGTCTACCATTAACACAGGTAAATCTTCTGACCCATCTCATCTCTATCACACTTCTCTGGGCATAAATAATTCTTAAAAAAACTCAGTACTTAGGGATGGAAACGTACATGCAAACGGAATCCTTGGCGTTGTTCGAATGGGTCTGTCGCAAGGGCGTTAAAGACATGGGAAAAACAAACTTAAGCCACGGCAACACCTTAACTTTTATTGTCCTAACATCATGCATTCCAATTAGTCATGTTCATAAACTTTATTCACACCAACACATTGAGTTTGTCCATCAACCCATTTGTTAGCTATACTCACTTCTCGATTACCACCGGTTCATATTCTTCTGTAGGCTCAGTAATCTTTTCCTGCTAAATGCCTCACTACTCTTACTTGATGTGTTTATTGCTTCTATGTTTTCAGTCAACTGTCAATTTTATATCAATTCCTTACAAAGTGAACAAAAAAAATCATTTATAGTTTCCTCACTTATATTATTCACTTCTTATTGATTATCTTCTTGTATTGGATGTTTATATCAATAGTCCATGAGTTTCGCATTGAGTGAATCTCATATTGAGTACAGAGCATACCAGTTTTGGTTAATAGATTTTGTGGATTTCATATTCGTTCCTTTGATAGCAAGTCATTCATATTGGTTGTATTGATTTAGTCTCCAACAATATGTTGGAGAGGATCATGTGTCTATTCATAATCTATGTACATATATGAACTAAAATGCTGCTTATTGGTGTTTAATGAACAATATGTTGGAGAGGATCATGTCTTTTATAACAACTTCTTTGGTGTTTAATGAACTAAAATGCTGCTTATTGGCAATGAAAAGCTGGGCATTTCTTTGCTGTTAGCAAAAAACTGGACATCAAGAAGTGAATTACATTCTGTGTCAAGTTTCAGGGATAAATGGTTATGTTAGGATAAAGCGGTTTGCTTAATTAGTGTTTTTGTCTGCTTTTTAAAACAATTTGCATCATTTGTATGGAGTTGTTAGTATAGTTTTTTATATTGTTGGTAACTTAGAGTCTCTCCACAGGTTTCAAGTTATAACTTGAAGGTATTAGTGCAACTAATGTGTTACTAACCATCAATCCTTTTATTGCACCAAAATATGATCACAAAGTAATGTTATATACACCAAATGTTGATATAACAAAATAATGTAGAATGCAACAGGTGGTGAATATGCACCTGGTGATACAACTAAAAGAAATATGACATTTCTTCTTGCATATCTAAAAGAAATATGAACCAACTAAATTGTTACGATGACTACATGTTTTGAATAAAAACTAATAAAAGGATAGATAGTTCAGCGTCTTATGTAGTCCAGATTAATGTTGAATCATGTACAGTAGGTTGAAATTATGCTGATCAAGTCTTGTAATGCTCTTGTTATTTGTGATACTTCTATCCCTCTTCTTCTTCCTCTAATTTTGTAAATAGTTTAATACCTCCTCTGCTATGCATAAATGGGAATATCCATTTGCTCTTTAGAATGTTTACAATGTGAAAATATTCACCATGTCACTCATACCTTAGATTTTACTGCTTCACAGACTTCTATGGATGAAATTACTTCATCCTTTTGCACTGGTTCACTCTGGCTCACACATGCTGTACTTTTGTTATTTCATTTAAACCATGAACCATTTAAAGACATTTCATAACACCAATTTTTGTTGATAGTATTTTAACTTTTAATGACAAATGTGCAAACATCTGCGTTTTAATTACGCCATATTACAGTTTGCGTTACCCTGAGATGACCTGAGGCATACTAAAAGGCAGACTGTTTTTGATACATTACATTTTGCCTTTCTATGTGTTACATTTACTGCAATCCTCTTGATGTTTATTTTCTGTTTTTGCTGCATGCCAGCCCCATGGATTTGTTCACCACTTGTTCTGTGGAAACTGACAAGGATCGTGACGGTGCTAACACCTTCTTGTACTTATTACACACTGTTCATGGGAGAAAGATACCTGTTGCTGTCCTCACTCAAACGGGTGCCAATGCATTTTCCTGTGAGACTACCGTAGCATGGCAGGAATTTTTGAATGCCTCAGTGTTTAACAGACTGCTGCCAACACGCTTCAGGAATAAAATCGAACTTGAACACAAACTTCATCATTTCTTACGTCGTGGACTTATCCTGCCTCCACCTGCAGGCAACTTAAATTCCCCTCCTTACACTTCGTATTTCCAGAACTTCTTTTGTTTGCTTTATCGTAGTGCAATCCCACTTCACTCATTTAACCCCTCATATTTGTTGTTCACCCTCACCAGTGTGTCCAAAGTCTACCACAATTCATTTTCCTGACGTGATGCAGTTCACTCTTGTTTGGTGTCTTCTGGATATCCCAGAAATTGATAAGGCGGTCTGTTTAAAAAACTTGGATTACTTCTAATGTTCAAGTATTCATGGTTATCACATT